AGTCTTCGTCGTCATCGCTGAGTCTGCCGATCTCGCGCTTCTTCGCAGAGGGTTCGCCCCCATGTTTGCCGGTGTTTACCCACGTATTTTTGCGCAGGCCACCTTTAACAAACTGAGAGAGTTCCCCCTGACGGATTAGCTTTTCGATGGCCCTCTTCAGAGTGACGCAGTCGTCCGTATTGTGGGAGGTATTCCGGTGGTAACAGCAGTAGGTGCCTCCCTGGTGGACGGCGTAGATCTCTTTGGCCGACCGGGGGTCTCGCTCGATGAGGGCGTGCTCCTCGGCGTAATCGAGGATGGAGCTTACCGGATGAGTAAGTGGGATCTTCGGCCTCTCCATCCTCGGCCCCCATATGAGGTCCTTGTTCTTTCCGCCATAACCATGGCGGCCTTGTCCTCCCTGTCCTCGGTCCCCGGCCGAGGGTGCGCCTGCAGCTGGCGCGGCGTTTGCCTTCTTGGAGGGGTGCCCTCCGTCCTTCTTGTGGTTGTGTAGCTCGTCAGCATCGGCGTACAAGTTTCCTCACTGAAGCGCCTTCAGATAAGACCTCGGTGGGTCAGTGATGACTCTGATGAGGCTCCTCGCATATGGTGTGCTGCGGAGGGCACCCTGAAACAAGACCAGGAGGGTGCGCTCATCGGCCCCCTCGACCTCATCAGTCTCCCTCGTCCATCGGTCTATGAACGACTGGAGTGATTCGTCATGCTGCTGCTTGACGGAGAGTAGAGGGGTGAAGTACTTCTTCGCGCGCTTCCTTCCGGCAAAGTGAGTGAGGAAGCGCTGGGCAAGGTCCTGCCACGAGTCTATGCTTCCCTCAGGGAGCGCGTTGAACCACTCGTACACTGGCCCTTCAAGAGTGGAAAGGAACCAACGGAAGAGGTATTCATCTGACGCGTTCACCATCAGCATGTTGGTCTGGTAGGGGCTGAAGTGCTCCTGGGGGTCGGAGCGGCCGTCATATGGCTTGATGGTGTTTCCCCGGTACTTCTCGGGGATTGGGGCCGAGAGTACTCTCGCAGTGAAGGGAGTCCTCGTTCTGACCTGGATGATGGGGTCTCCTCGTCCTTCGGCCAACTCCCTCTCAAGGATGGTGATCTTGTTCAGGAGGGCGTTGAAACCGGGATCTCGATGAGTTGCCGGCTAGCGTGGCGGCCAGCTGTTTGGCCTCCATCTGGGCGAGCCTCCGCTTGAGTTGGGCGATCACTTCGTCCATGGGGTCTTTGGCCGCCATAGTGGCCCCTTGTGTTTGCAAATGGGCGGCATGGGCCGTGTTGATCTGGTGTCGGGCATCATCCTCATGCAGTTTCCCCTTGCCTTTGTCCAGGCGGGGCCGATCCGCTGTCCGGGATACCGACCCCAAGCTTTCCCTAGGTGAGCCAGGCTCACGCTGACCAATCCGCCCCGTCATCCTCTCCGAAGCAAGGCGACGGCACATGTCACCTAGCCTATTAAAGGCTGAGGCTTTTCCACGCGCTGTGGTCGGTTTGGCTCAAAGCGGGGAAACAGGGTGGGCGTGGGACGATGTCGTGTCCTGGGGCACCATCCCCTCATCATTGTCTAGCCTAACAGCCAATGGCTGGGGCTGAGGAGGCGGCGTCGTGTACTCCCCCGTCCTCGGCATGAGTGCGCTGAGGACGGTGGGGTTCTGGGCCAAGCTGGCGATGATGGCCGAGAGTACGGCCTGAAGCTGAGTGTCAAAAGCAGGAGAGGACGGTTGCGTCGAGGCATTGTCGTCTTTTTCCGCGCGCTTCTTGTCCAAGCCGATGCGGGCGTAAGGGGCGCCGCCGTTGAGCTTGTTGCGCAGGTCTCCTGCAAGGTCGATGGCTTCCTGGAAGACACCCCCTTGGCGGCCTTGTCGGCCGTAGCGTCCTCCTCGTGCTCTTGGTTCTCCTGTGCCTCAAGGATGGCCTTGCTGAGGAGGTTGCGGTTTGACTTAGTTCTTCCCATTGTCAGTTAGCTGTGCTTGGTAGCGACGAAGGAGGCTAACTTGATTGTTCTAGCTCTCAACGAGAGCACCAAATGATAGACTATAAGTCCAGAGAGAGGTGAGAGCTAGAGAGAGAAGTGCTATAATTGCTTTGTATTAATGAATTTTTGAACCCTTACAACTACTCCCAGAGGGAGTATTTATAGGAAAAATTAGGGCTGCCCCCCCAAGTCTTGGGCTTGGGAGGCCCATCTACAATAGGGCCACTAATGGGACGGATACAAAGTACATAGAAAAGACTAAGTGTAAATCTTGTTCTGGAGACTGTCTATGGCCGACGAGGGCGTGGCCGACGAGGGCATGGCCGATGAAGACCCAGCCGATGAGGTCACCTGGCTCTTCCCGGCTTCTGGATCACATTCCGAGTAGACTTCTTCCTGGCCGATGGGGGTCATCTGGCCGACGAGGGTCCCACCAGGTGGTCGTGGTACCTTCTGTTCTTCCGAGTATGTGGGTCCTGGGGTCCAAGCCCATATACTTCTTCAATAATATATGAGAACATCGGGTACAATCTCTAAATATGTGTCCTCTGATTCTTCATTTGCAATTTGAAATAATATAATTAAGGAATTTAATTCAAAATTAAATCTTTGATCCTTCAAATATTATGTTGAGTTTAATCCAACACGATATAATAAATATAGATATAAATTGATACGAACACTCCGTTTTTACGTGGAAACCCAGAAAGGGAGAAAACCACATGACTCTTTAGGCTAATGTCCAAGCCCTCTCATTTTATTAATGCTCTCCTCACCATTACAATGTACAAGCTTCCATTTATGAAATATAAACTAGCTCAAGAGAGAGGGAGGAGAAGAAGCGATCCCTTATTAAGAGGGAAATCCTCGTATTTATAGAGGGAAGGGGAGGGGTGATCCACCCTAATGGGCCAAATGGGCCACGATGGGCCGAATGAGGCGATACGGGCCCAAAAATGGGCCGAAACGGGCCTCACTCATTGGGCTTTGTACCCAATAATGTCTCGGGTTCCTGTACAGTGGTAGGTCGGGGTAATATATCTCAACATATTCAAACGCTCTTCAGATTTTCGAATCTTCATTCTTGAGATTTTCAAATCTTTGAATCTTCATTCTTCGGAACTTCAAATCGTCTTGAATACAGAATTCAGCTTGAAGGGCCTCCAGTTTTCAAGTAGCTTGATCTTCAACAAAAAGGTCATTTTATGGCTTGATTTTTTGTTCAAGGGCTTCCCAAGATTTATGGTTTAATCTTCAATTGAATCTTGATTCAATCTTCATATAAATATCTTCAAATCTTCAAAGATTGGTTATTCATATCTTCGAATCTTCAAAGTCTTGTTCTTCAGGTTTTCGAATCTTCAAGCTTCGTTCTTCAGATCTTCGAACGTTCTTGAACTTTTGGACTTATGTTATCAAGAATCAACGAATCATAAAGGATTGCCATATATTCTTCATAAAATTCATGGCTTGATCTACTCATCTTCTTTGGAATCGTTCAGAACCTATCAGGGGCTCTTCAAAGCTTTTCTCTAGCGTTTCTTTGTGTGGAAGTTCTCTCTTCCATTTCTCTCAACTGAAACCCCTATTTATAGGCATGGAGGAGATGAAATATGGATTAGGGATCCTAAAATTAGTCCATATCTCTAGGGCCCTAATTAAAATGGACTTGGGCTTCTATTTGCTTGCATTTTAATAGTTAAAAAAATCAGCACCTATGCATTGTATCTGGACAGCTTTCCTAACAACGTTCGTAGCTCTTTTCGATGTTTATAGATGAATTTCTCAACCAGATTCATTGCCCTCTTCATAAGTTGAATCGGACCTCTCATATTTTAGGCCACTAATTTATATTGGGCTCTAAGATAGAGTCTATAATAGGACTGATCCATTATTTTAAAAATTAAATTAATTGGATATTTTTACATGGTCCAATTTAATTCAATCATAAAATCTCATCTCAAGGGACCCATGACATTATCTTTATTTTAATATGGTCCAACAATATCATGATTAAGAATTGTCCGGTAGATTTTAAAGAAGCCCAAGTGATCATCACAATTGACGCAATAATTTTAAATGCTCACACGAAGTACTTATTGTGAATACAATATTTAAATAGGATGACACTCCTCCTGTGTGATCCATCAGAACCGATCGAACAATAATACTACCTCCGTCCCATAATACTTGGTCAATTTTCCTTTTTTGGTTGTCTCAAAATACTTTGTCATTTCCATTTAAAGTAACAAATATGTGGCTAAAGTTATTTTTATCTCCTCTGCATCAATATCAAACACACAGTTTTTACTTTATTAATCTACGTGCAAGACAACATTCGTTAAGTATTATGGAATGTAGGGAGTACGTAAGAATGTAAATTGGACCTTGATCGCATTCTAAAAGAATGTAAGTAAGTGAGAATTTATCCTAAATGAGTACTTTGAGTTGAACCCGGACTCTCCCTACTAAGGGGAAAAAGACTTGGGGTACACACTTTTGGTGTACAAACTTTTTACACACCAAAAGTGTGTACCTTTACAATTTTTCTACAGGGATGAGGTGAGCTACACCCCGATTTGTGAATACAACCTACGTCCAAAAGGTTGAATTCCCAACCCCAAGGGCCCCCCACCCTGACCCGACAGGATAGTGAGGGAGTAAATCACGGTGACTCAGTCGGCAAAGCGGCAGTAGGCCTTTACCCGTGCGCACCAGAGGGCCAGCCTTATTTCAGGTTCTGAAAACCTCATTTTGGCCGTTGCGAGATTCGAACCTTGGTCTACGTCCAATTTTTCCCACCGTTCGACCAACTGAGCTACCCGTGCGGGAAGTGAATACAACCTACAAAAGCTAGCGAGGGTGTCATTATATTAATACGTAGTGAATACAACCTAAAAAGCTAGCGAGGGTGTCATTATATTAATACGTACTTTGGGAGTATAATGATATCATAAGGAGCCGTATATGTGGGAACCCGATATTCATTTAAGGGTTAGGAGTACTCCGTATATGACACTATATAGAGTAGATTAGAGAGAGAGAGAGAGAGAGAGAGAAATAGGAGTGTGCGTTCATTATTATAGCTTAGCTTTGTATGCATGCCAGCGATGAAGTAGAAGGAAGGATCAATTGCTTTCTCTCACCTCAGGTCAAAGCTGGCACCCCCTTCTATAATCCCCTCCCTTCTCTCTACTATTCTATTCTATTAATCCCCTCCACCTCTCCACTCCTCACTTCGTTCAAATCCTCCCTCTCTCTCTTCTCTCTCTCATCTCTTCCTTCTACAAGACGATACAAACAGAGAGGTACCGTATGAGATGGTGAAGCTGTGAGATAAATACGTACTTTAATCTTCATTAGCAGAGCTCAAAAGAAGTGAGATTAATGTTTGATTCGTGCGCGGCTACAATGGCCGGGTCTCCGTCTTTCTCCGGAGCTGAAAAGAAGCACTGGTGGATTACCAACAGAAAGGTATTGCGGCATAGCGCCATTTTAATTTCTTCAACTGATTCAGAATAGTAATAATAAGAGCTCCGTGTTTTGAATAGGGGCGATCGATTCTCTGTTTTGAATTTGTCATTGATCGATTTGTTGAATGTTTGTGCAGATTGTGGATAAATATGTGAAGGACGCGAGGGCGCTGATTGCGACTCGAGAACAGAGCGAGATTTCTGCCGCTCTGTATCTTCTGGACACTGCGCTTGCCTTTTCTCCTCGATTCGAATTGGCCTTGGAATTGAAGGCTCGGTGCTTGCTTTATCTCCGCAGATTCAAGGACGTTGCGGACATGCTGCAGGATCACATTCCGAGCGTCAAGATGGCGGCCGACGAGGCGTCTTCGGTTTCTCCGTCGTCGTCATCAGGATCGTCGGATAACTCGTTTTCGCAGCTTTCGAGGGAGAGGCTGAAGCTTCTCTCTACCGGCTCTGACGACACTGTTTTCCGCTGTTTCTCTCTCTCCGATTTGAAGAAGAAGGTAGTGGCCGGGCTCTACAAGAACTGCGAGAGGGGAGGTCAATGGAGGTAATTTCATTTTAACAATTAACCATTTTCCCCAATTTCCTGTTCTTTTACTGCAAAGCAGACAGCCAGACACTCTCCTTTTTTACTGCCTTCATATTCGGACAGTATGGCTTCTAGATTACGCAAATACGGGTGGTTTGTTTCACTTAATCATGAAATGATTTGATTAAGTTTTTGAAAGTCAAAAAGTCATTCCGTATTTAATGGCAAACGAGCATTTTCTGCTTTTCTATTAACACGTTGATCATCAATAAATTAGAGTTGATTGATTGATTGACTATCTGGGATGCTAATAAATCTCAATTTCCAGGTATTTAATTTTGGGCCAGGCTTGTTGCCATTTGGGCCTAATGGAGGACGCCCTTGTTCTATTACAAACAGGGAAACGCCTCGCCACCGATGCCTTCCGGCGAGAGAGTGTATGCCTATCCGACGACAGCTTTTCATCCGCCAGATTCCCACTGTCCAGAGATCAGCCGCAACAAGACAGTCCAATGACCGAATCAGAAAGCATCTCCCAGCTGCTCAGCCACATCAAGCTACTTCTCCGCCGCAGGACAGCGGCAATGGCTGCCCTGAATGCTGGCCTATTATCCGAAGCCATCCGACACTTCTCCAAAATCGTTGATGGCCGTCGCGGGGCCCCACAAGGGTTCCTGGCCGAATGCTACCTCTACCGTGCCTCAGCATACCGTTCCTCTGGCCGAATGGCGGAGGCCATTGCGGATTGTAACCGAACCCTTGCTTTGGATCCATCTTCTATTGATTCCCTAAGCACCAGGGCAGCTCTCTTTGAAGACATTCGGTGCTTACCGGACAGCCTCCACGATCTTGAGCACTTAAGGCTCTTATACAACTCGATGTTGCGTGACCGGAGATTGCCCGGCCCGGCCTGGAAACGCCAGAATGTGCAATATAGAGAGATCCCGGGCAGGCTATGCTCATTGGCCAATAAAATCCAAGAATTGAAACAACGGGTCGCCTCTGGTGAGACCGGGAATGTAGACCACTACGCCTTATTCGGGTTAAGAAGAGGTTGTTCAAGATCCGAATTGGAGAGAGCACATTTGCTACTCACTCTAAGACATAAGCCCGACAAGTCCAGTGGATTCATAGAGAGGTGCGAGTACACGGACGACCGGGAGATTGAATCCGTTAGAGAGAGGGCAAAAATGTCTGCACTGTTATTGTATAGGTTGATCCAAAAGGGTTATACTAGTTTAATGGCGGCGATCATTGATGAAGAAGCAGCTGAGAAGCAAAGGAAGAAAACCGCTGCGTCTCCTGTTGTGGCATTGCAAGCAATACAACAGCATCAAGAGGAGGTGGCTCAACAAAAATCTCATGGACCATCATCCACAATGAAGCCAATTTGTTGTCCCGACCCATCGGTGTTTCAAGGTGTGTTCTGTAGAGACATTGCGATTGTTGGGAATTTATTATCGCAATCGGGGTTTAACCGTCCACTTCCCATGAAATATGAGGCCTTGAGCTGTTGATTTATTTTGATTTTAATTTATTTTTTCTCTGGTGGGATGAAGTGCGAAGAATCTCTGGAAGGAGTGTGAAAAGGGAGAAGGAGAGGGGGCAGAGAGAGCATTTGATGTGTGTTAATTTTCAATGTTGTGGAATCTGATTCTAGGAACAAAAGACTTGTCTAGTGCAGGAAATGGGGAAAAATTGTTCACCTTTACCATCCAGAAAAATTTTTGGTTACCTACTACTGCAGCTGTGCAGTAGAATCTTTCTTTATGTAATTTTCTTTTCTTTGTTTTCTTTTTACTTTTTTTCTTTCCACTTTGTGTTTGTACAGATTTAATTCATCATCCGGATTTAGCAGTTGAAGTATTTATATTTCTTGCTTTTGTCATTTCCTTTGTTTTGTTTTACAAAATTGACAAGTTGCATGGGGTGATAATTTTTTTAGGAAGCCTGTATAAATGGGTATCACAGGAAAAGGGTGAAAAGTGGATGGAAGGTAGCGTTCTTTTGGTAAATGATAAATTCTGTGATGAAATAAATTTCAGAGGTGGGTCACACTGCCCGGCCACAGTATCTTTAATGTCTGCAGTAGGGAGACTTCCACAGTTTTCACATCCACCAATATGAAAGCAGAGAAAAAACGTTGTTTTAAGGACTTCTTTCCGCAACATATTAATTAAAATTGATTTTTGATACTAAGATTAGAAACTGCGATTAAAAGTAAGACACACTAAATTCTATCCTAAAGGCTGGAGATTTGATGTCGCGTTTATCTTGGTGGAGAGTACAACCAGGCCACCGGTCGTTGACACAATATTAAGTTAAGAGGAGTAGGTTGGGTACAGTCCGTAGTTAGAGTATTTGGGTTCTGATCTCTCCTTTAGTAACAACAATGAAGAACTTAGGTTACAGCTCCAGTCTTTATCAATTAGCTTGCGATTAAAGTTCGATTTACATCCTATCCTTTAGATAATTGTAGATAATTGTTCGATCGGTGTTGACGACCTTTCGGGATGGAGTGTCATCCTTTTTTATCATGTTCTCGCCAGAATTGTACAAATAAATTTATGGAAATCTTTTTACACGAATTTTTTACATTTCTAGGTATTAACCAAAAGAATGAATTACATTTCTGATTTCTCTAATTATGTATGCACTAATGAACAAAGGTTTCGTTTATGCTCTAGTTTCTATCCTTTTGACTCTAAGTGCATGTTATTGAGAGACTTTGATAAAACTAAAATTGGTTAAATTGGATTAACTGTGTATGAACGAGATAAAGGAAAAATTATATGAAAAATAACTAAAATAGTCGTGTTTAACAGATTCAACCCACTGGCTAAGAATGAGAATAGTAACTACAACTTTACTTATTTTAATTATTACACAATTCTGAAATCAAAGGAGCAAAAGGGGCCCTACGTACTCGCATGAGTAGCTCAGTTGGTTCAGTGGTAGGAAATTTAGAACATTGACCAAGGTTCATAACCCGCATTGGCCGTGTGGACGTTACAGCTCCTGCGTGCTGGGCTGGACCTCTGGTGCGCACGGGTATAAGGCCTACCATCATTGGCCGACTGAGTCGTCGTGACTTACATCCTCCCAAAAATCTTGTCAGATCGAGGTGTGGGAGGACTTGGGGTTGGGGATTTAACCTTTGGGAACATAGTAAAGGAGCCCTAAGTTAGTTGTCTCATTAGATAAGCAAAGAGGGAGCTTGTGAGTGAATAGCAGCAGGTAGGACTGTAGCAGAGCTGCAGGAATGGAGGCACAAGCAGCTTGGGGTTACTGTTGATAAATTAATGAGACGATGAGAGTACAAGCTTGAATTGCTGCTCCCTCGCTTTGCTTCTTTGCCAAAACCAAAGTACCTATTGATGTGTCATTGTCTTAAGCTTTAACTTACCAGGTTTTAAGTGTGCTGTGATGTGCTGTGCTATCAAAGTACTACGTATCAAACTATTCCCATTCATCAATCTTTCAAAACTTTCCCAGCTCATCATCAAACTTTTTACGGTCTAAAAGTGCTGGCTGGGTCGGTGGGGGTTAGCTTAAAACAAATAATTACTCTCTCTCTAACCTCTTTCTAACCCCTTTTGAAATTTTAAAAAATGTTTGACTTTCAAACTGCTCTTGTTTTAATTGTGACCTTTTGCTCATTTTTTTCTTTTTCTATGATCCTCTCTGCTTAAAATATTTGTCTATCATTATTTTTATTTGATTGAGGATAAAATTGAATCTTTATGTGGGGTATAAGTTATTGTTGGTTGTTACAATTTTGATATTGAGTAAATAAAAAAAAACGTTTTAAGGAATCACAAAAACTGAATTTGGAAGTGTCAATACTCAGGATTTAGGAGCTCTCTTGTATATAGATTTTGTATGAATGATGTTTATCAATTTTAAGAATAACACAAATTTCAGCAAGAGCTATGTTAATTAATATTTATAAGTCTTACATTAGAAGAGGTCAACTACATTGTTACACAATGATAAAGACCAATTAAGATAATTAAACGAAACAAAGGTAATTTATCGAATTCAACAAGAATATGTTGCGTCGAAGAGTTCAAGTTTATTTTTATCAGATAACTCAAAATTGGATGATGATTTGTAAACTAGATTTCATTATGATTAATTGTATATACCATCATGGGCGGAGGAGATAGAGGAGGCCCAGGCCCATCCACCCTACATTAAAAATGTCCTAATTTTTAGTATAAAAAATTTCGTGTAAAATATTTTTTGTACCGGTCACTCCGACTCACTGTGCCCCGACTCTGCCCCTTTATACCGTTTTATAGTAGTCAATGAGTAGGTTTGATAACCATTATTATACTCATTGTTCATAACTTGAGAGCAGTCTCTTATCAAAACTTGAGAAAGTTAGCCTCTCTCTAATAGACACGTTGTGATGAGGCTTTTCTATGAAACTTCACTTTATAGGATTGCATTCGCGCATAATTCAACCATCGTGTATTCATTACTGAACTGTGCTGCCCAATTTTTCTATTAAAGCTCTCACTTTCCTTTTTAGGATGTCCTTTATTTAAGTTCACACTAGGAAACAAAATAGTGCAAAACAGTGCCAAACAGTGCCAAACAGTGTCCAAACAGTGTCAAACAGTGCACTCCACAGTAAAGTCAAATTTATTTTCTTGATCTGTGTGAAGTCAAACTGAGAACTTTAATAGGGACGGGAGGAAGTATCATACAACTCCTCTATGGGGAACTCATCATATGGCTTTTTATGTGTATTTCAACAACACCACCATAAAGATATAATCACGAGCGGAGCCAAGGCATTAGGCTGGATTGGACCGATACAAAGAATATTTTTGAATTTTTTACACTAAAAATATAGACAATTTTAAAATTTAGGCAAGGCTAGGGTTGACCCTCTCTTAGCTCCGCCCCGGATATAATATAAAATCGCCTACTCTCTCAATAACTTACAACTATAGAAAAAAAAGATTCATTGCTTGGGAGTAAAAAATTTCCAAAGAATATTTCCTTTATGACTTTATATGTTATTTTAACTATATGCGAAAGTTTGATCTGTTTTTTTCTTTTCCAATAATAGAGTAGCACTTGGACGCCTAATCATAGAACTAATATTAGCCTTCATAGGGTAGTGTGGGCCGGGGTTGTAAGGACCATCCTACGTCGTCTTCCTCCACATCCCTCCCCACTCACAAAATTACCCAAATCTTATCTTCCCGAAGGGTTAAAATGGGCAGGGTGGAATAATAGTCGGATGAAGGGGCTGATGTCTTTCCCTTCTAGGGTACATCTGATGTCTTTTTTTGTAATTTTGTTACATAATCGAAAGAATTGAACTGGATAGTTTATATCAACTACCATGAAGGACTACATTAAGTTCTTGTTTTGTTTTTATGTCAATCTTATTAAATTTAATGCCAATTTACAAAAACTGCATTTATTTATTTATTTATAACAACAAACACATCTCAATAAATTAACTTGTTACAATATTTAGGCCAGGGGTGAACAAAAAAACCCGAGAAACTGAATCTAACCCATGCCACAAATCGTCTGAAACCTGACCGATCAAAATTTAACCGAATGAAATCGAAACAGACCAAAATCAAACTATTAAAGTTGAAACTAATCGAAAGTGACTAATCCATCGGTTATATGGTTTGCAATTTATACTTTTGAGGTAATGAGCTGGTGGCCAACCCAAAATTGGCAAAGTCACAAAACCGGGCCAAATAGATCGAAATGGACTCAAGTTTTGTGATCCGATTCTGGGTTCCACGTATTCCAAAAGTCGCTAAAACCCCCATATGATAAACTGAAATCGACAGCCTAAAAATCAAAATCGGCCAAAACCAAAATAATAAAATTGAAAATTTGAAATTGATGAAACTGAAATGAGATTTTCAAACTATAGTTGAACTTTCAAATGTAGTAATAAGCATAAATGTGTGCGAGAGTTTCGATTTTTTCATAATACTAAAAAAGATCATATAATAAAAGTTTATTTAGATGTGTTGGAGACTCAATTATTTTGAATAATAATATACGTACAAATGAGTAGGAAAAGAAAGTTGTTATAGTTGGAGGGAGAAAAGGTATTTGAAAATGGTAGTTGGTTTGACGGGGAGGGATATCGGACGGCGTAATAACTACGGATCGGAGCTAGTAAGTACAGTTTGGGTCATAGGATTCCTAGCAAGCCTAGTCCCAGCTGCTGCTGCTGTAAAGGCAGGAGGGAAGCATCCAGAAATTCAGTAATTGAATTGACATCCAATTATTGTTGTTTTTATTTTCAATTTTGTTGCTTCAATGATCGATGTCTCTTTACACATACATATACCAGGTTCACTGCATTTATCCGTACCCCTCCCTCTTATTCAAAAAAAAAAAAGAATGACACCTCATCCTTGAGGGGCCCCAATCTCGACCGGCCGATGCGTTGAGAAATGTAAATTGAATTATAATCTCAATCTGACAAATAGAGAGGGCAGCTCTGTCCCCGGTATTTGTAGAGGCCTTATGCATTTTTAGCATAGTAACACATCATCGCAGTTGTCGGTATTCGAACCCGGGACCTAACCCTTGTGACACTCTCTTGCTACCAGTTGAGCTACGCCCACCGGTCCCTCCTCCCTCTTCTTCAAATATGATCTTTTGGGACATTTGAATTCGGGAAAACAAGATATTGGCGGGAAATACATTTAATGTAACAGATTTGATGGTTGGAAAGCAAGTGGCTCACAATCTTCTACATCATCACTACCATCTACTCGTATAAATAACAACATTTATTTCATAGTTAGGGTTAACAACTTGTATTCTCTACCAATAGCTTTATTCTTTGTATTTATAGCTTAGTTAGGCGCTGGGCTAGGATTTCAGTAGAGGGTGGTGTGCTGTAATTGTTCTTGATTGTTTAATACGAACCCGGCCCACTTATTGTCTCTATCCTTTTTATTGCTATTTACCTTGTGCCATCGTATTTGCTTAATTTACCAAACTTCCATCGAAACACAAGGGAACATGTTGGGCACTCGGAGTCAGAGGAATAAACCTCAACAAGAGTCTCTTTCATACTTTTTATACAATTGATAGTCTATGCAATCATTATTTAGGGGAGTATATTGAATATAGATTATGGTGAACTCTTTTTAATTCACAGACTTTTACAAAAAATTCATAGATTCTTAAATCCACAGGCTTTTTTATTAATGAATTCTATTCACTTTTAAATTCATGGATAAGTTTATAAACTTTCAAAAGGTCCATAGACTTTTAAATCCGAACGTCAGAATTTTCACCTAGATCGTCGCTATCGATTTGCATGTCCGTCTTCGTCACTGGAGTTCACTGTCAACGTCATCAGACTGATCCGCCACCAAAAAATTACTTTGATTATGCAAGAGAACTAGGGCAATTAGTTATATTAATTAATTAAATTAGGAGTAAAGATGTAATATTTAGTCTTATTTAATGAAAATCAAACATATGATCATACTTTGGGGAAAATACCATGTTTTAGTCCTACCGTGAGTAATTTCCCATGTGTAATATGATAAGAAACAATTAAATAAATATATGAAACAAATGTAAT